CCCTTTTTGCTTGTGACTTGCTGGTATCCCAATATCACCAGGGCACTGGAGGCCATCTGGTCCATTTGTTAAAATATGCAAGAAATTTTTGCATTTCAGAATCCCCACCTCTATATTCTATTCCTAGGAACACTGCTAGTAAAAATAAACTGTATCTTGGAAGAAATATATGTGTCACTCATGTTTTTCACTTGAAGAAAACCTTTATAAGGTGTGAGAAGGGGGTGAAGGGTTAAAAGGAATCAACAATTAAAATGTTTTTGTTTAAAGGGGTAAGATGATAGATAGATTAATAGACAGATAGATAGATAGATAGATAGGACAGATAGACAGATTAATAGATAGACTAAAACCCTATCAAAGCTGGAATGAAAAGCGTCCACCATTATAAGAGGTATGAACTAGAGGCCCACAGCCCAGGCCAGAACTATATCACTACACTAAAGCAGTTAAAAAGTAACCTTGTCAAGGCTGCAGGTATAGCTCAGTGGCTACAGTACTTGTCTAGCATGTACAAAGGACCTGGGTTGATCCCCAGGAACTCAAAACAAATAAATAAGCCAGAAGCTGTTGTCCTTCATGCCTGTAATCCTAGCTTTAGGGAGTTCTGGAGATTGGAGATTCAAGTTTCAAAGCCAGCTTGGGAAAATAGTGTCTCAAAGATTCCATCTCCCCAAAATAACCAGGCCAAAAATGTACTATCAAGAAGTGTGGTTCAAGTGGTAGAGTACCTGCTTTTGTGAGCCTTGAAATCCAAGTTCAAATCCAGTCCCACCAAACAGACAAGGAAAAAAAAAAGAAAACCTACCTTGTCTCTCTCTGCTCTTCCCTTCCTTTATGTCCTGTCAGTGCCTTAATTTCCCAAACCTAATTACAAGTCATCTTGAGGAAGAGACTACAGGTCCTACATTCCCCCCTCAAGAAAGCACACCCAAGGTGACTGAAAAGCCTCCCACTAGCCCAGAAACTGGGGACATGGGAACTTTAGGACATTCTAATCTAAACTATAGCATAGATCAACCTTAAAGGATCAAAAATCACAAAGTGTGGTGGCACACACCTGTAATTCCAGCACTCAGGAAGCTTGAAGCAGGAAGATTTGGAGTCTAAGGCTAGCTTGAGCTATATAGCAAGACCTTAAAAAGAAAGAAAAGAAAAAGAACAAAATTTTCACACCACCCTTGGATTCTTTCTGGCTGGCAAAAAACAATTACCCCAAAATATTCTCTTAGAGGACTTTCAAGAAAAATCAGTAATACTAAGTATTCAGAACTAAACATATTTATATAGGAAGCAATAGAAAATGTTATAAAACACTTCAGATTTCACCAAATCTCAGATTCCACTTGATTGTTAAGATACAGTTTGGTTCTGTTAACACAAAGTAAAGAAAATCCCTTCAATAAGTTTAATATAATAGGTTTTCCACAATGATCTTAAGCATGAATTCTCTGATGTTTCTTCCTGTGGCTGTAGCTGCATTACTTGGTATGAGATAAGACCATTATATGCATATTATTCATAGTAAGACATAATGTAAATTTTCATCTACTTGTGGTTTCTGCTTTCTTAGGTCCTATAACATACTTGGTGATTGTTCTATAAGAAAATAAGCAATTACACTAATTCCATTCAGTGATATTGGGCCTTATGATAAAATATTTATTCAATTGATAAATATTTGATAAATATAAATCATATATCTTATTGCTTTGTTTCCTTCTCTTGCACATCCACAATACACCTTTTGTTCAATGTCAAATTATAATGGTAAGATTTTGAAAGCATTTTAAACCCAGCAAATAAAGACCAACATTGTTATGACCAGTAATCAGGAAACTTCAAAGTTGATGACCATGTAACTAGCGAAACAAAAAGTTACAGTCTCTCCTCAATACCTGGAGTTCTGCATTCATTAGTTCAATCACCAAGGCTCAGAAACAAATTGTATCTGGTATGAGCAAGTAGACTTGTTCTTGTTAAGATTCCCTAAACCAATATTGTATAACAACAATTTATGTAGCATTTCCATTGGTTTAAGTATTATAGGTCATCTCTTAGAATTGATAACGTATACACAAGAGTATGTTCAATGGCCTATATGTATTACTATGTTCCATTTTTTTTAAAGAACTTGAAACATCCTTAGGTTTTGTTATCTGTAAGAGTTCCTGGAAATCAATACCTGTGAATACCAATGGACCACGTACTTTTCAATGAAGCAAAATTGATCTCTATAAACATGAATGGCCCCTAAGATGGACAATTATCATAAGACACATTAATTATTAAGATAATTTCAAGATCGTTAAATTTTCCAAACATATGTACTTATCATACAATATGACAAATTGAATCTTATCATTATGTCAGCAAGGGTGGGGGAAAGAAGGAGATAACCAACATTGTATGCACATTTGAATAAAGAAAAGAAAAAGAAAAAAAAAAAATCAAACATAAATCATATTAAAAAAGAAAACACAAAATATTAAAAAAAAGTCACCAGTAAATAAGAAAAACTTTACTACATATGTTTCTAAAGAAACAATAATGGAATATTTACTGATACCAAATAGTGAAAATTGTAAATGACAGGTCTTTCAAGAACCTTATGATCAAGGAATCAAGAATAGAAGATTAAGAATGCGAAAAAAAGTTAAATCCAAAAAGCCAATTTTGCACAATACACTAAAAGGTTGATCAAAATACTATTTCCTTATCTGAATATACATCAGCATAAATTTTGTTGAATTCCTTTATTGTGATCATCAATAGATTTTTTTAATGTATTTATGTTTTTAGCTTTCTAATATTTTATTTTAAAATTTAAATATAAAAATGTATCATTATGCACCTAAAAAGCAAAAGGAAACAAAAAATAGCCCATCAGAACCAGACATGAAATAGAGGTAAAGTGCTTACCTGGAGACAACAGAAAAAGGATGGGCATAAGAATGAAGAAACAAAGCAGAAAATTTACAAAGCATAAAATAGGATAACCCCAAGTAGTTTTTGCCACAATTATTACATGTTTACTTATCCAGTACTCACCCAGTGCCTCTTCCATACTCAGCACACTTCTAGACACTAGGAATGCTGTTAAGTCATGAATACATCAAGTCAAGGCGAGAATACAAGGGAACATGCACGCAGAAAATTAAGATGGAATATATAGAACATTGATAAGGGTTGGATTTCAGGGGCAGAGTGTTGTCCAGGCATAAGTAAGGCTCTGGATTCAAAACCTCCCAGCCAGGAGAAAGAGAAAAAAAAGAAAGCGGAAGAGGAGGAACTTATAATACCATAGGTAAAATATAAATTTCCTAGGGGCAACCCCTTGACCATAAGACCACTAAGATCAACTGAAATCAGTTATCCATTTGAGTCAAGCTCAGGAATTTTATTGTAGGGCAGGGGCGGATTGCTCAATGGTCTAGAATCAACCTACTTACCAAGTAAGAGGCCCTTTGAATTCAAACTCCAGTGCCACAAAAAGAATTTCATTGTGCCAATTGAAGGTTATGAACTTTGATCATATTTGCTGTTTTAGAAAGATAAATATAGTGGCTGTATGGAAAATGTGAAGTTTTAGGCAGAGTTGACGAGTTTGGCATCGAGATGCTGCAGAACTAGATTAGAAAAGTGGCCACAGGGTGAGGAGAGAAGACAGCTATTTTATTGAACGGGGCAGTGGGAGTTGGTAACTGTCAGACGTGAAATAGGAGGAAGCAGGAATTCAAGAAATTTAATAGAACAACTGGATGGAAACGATACAGCAAACATCCCCCAGGACACAGGAGCGTGAGGACAGTAACTTCCAGCTAAGTACCAACTTTGCTGCTTGAGAATGACTAAAAACAAGTTAAATAATTATTTTATAAATTGAAAACCTGAAAGATATAGGGCCCAAACCTAAGGGAAAACAGGACTCGGAAGGCCAAAAGTTCTTTAGGGAGTTTACCAAGTTTCTGCCAGACTCAGGCTCTGCATCTGGTGAACTAATGAATGTTATAGCTCACAGTCCACTCAAGATGATGAGGACAATGGTTGGCACACCTCAGCATAATCCAGAACTCCAAAGAGCTCCACTCATGGTAAGGATGAACCAGAAGTAAACCTGCATACACATTTACATAAATCCCCAAAGAATACATTAAGGTTGTCTTTTTTTTTTTTTTTTTTTTTTGTGGTACTGGAGTTTGAACTCAGGGCCTACACCTTGAGCCACTCCACCAGACCTTTTCAGTGATGAGTTTTTTGAGATAAGTTCTTGTGAACTATTTTCCCAGGCTGGCTTTGAACCTCCTGATCTCTGCCTCCTGAATACCTAAGATTACAGGTATGAGCCACTAGTGCCTAGCTAAAGTTGTCTTATTACACAAGAAAGGGGAAAAAAAAAGAAAAAGAAAACTGATATGTGAGAGGCTGTGGCCATTGTGAGGCCTCAGCAAGACTTGCAGCCCTGCTTTGCACAGTCCAGGTAGTCCAGCTAACCTAAGCAGAGATCTGGCTTCTGTTAGTAGCCCAGGCACCTGGAAAATAGAAGTGCAGACCCTCACCATGGGAAGACATCATCTCACTGTTGTGCACCATGAGAAGACCACAAGATACACAGTTTGGTCCAACCTAATTCCCCTTGCCATCCTAAGTACTGTTTTCTCACTACCTCTACCTATCCAGGAACTTGACTTGCTGGTTTCCGGAAGAGAAAACACCACCAGGAGGAACTAAACAGCTTTCCTCTAGATTCTCTGAATTAAACATCCCCTTAATTCTGTTCATCCTTCACCTACTTCAATGAGCAGATTCCATAGTGACATGGAGCCTGGGAAAGACTTTCCAGTGACTTAACACAGACTGACATGTTTTTTTACTAATTCAAGGGTCTCAGAACCCCACTCCCACACCTTAGTACAAATGAAGAAGTCATTAGTGTACAATATTGAAAGTTGTCCAGTTGCATCCTATCAATATCAAGACTTCTGTTTATTTCCTAATAGGATTAAGAAGATATGCTAGAATTGGAGTCATTTCTGATAAAGTTTTTGCATTATACTATGATCACTTGGGATTCATACATAAACTAGCTCCAGATTACTTTGATGCTGGTTCGGAAATTGAAGCCTTTGGAAATACTAGAACCATTTTCGGAAAGGTCAGTGATACGACACACTGAAACATTTTGCTTTAAGAACAGATGCAAATGAACATAACCTTTGACCTAGGATGGTCTTCATCCTATAGATAAACAAATACATAAGTACATATTTTAAAAATGATAGATGCCACATTATATACACAGAATAATGGGAAAGTGGGAAGGTGTTTTCCTGAGGACAGACTCTTATTAATGCCCTTCACTCTAGTTAACTAAAGGAGGAAACTCCATAGACCAGGAACACCTCCAAAATCTTCCACATAGTGTAGTCATGCTTCAGATCCACCCAGGATCTCTCCTTGCAAATGTCTTCACAGCGGACCATCAGATCTTCTAAACCAGATGCATTGCTAGCAGCCCAGGCCCAGGGGGAATTGGATCTTTACTTCCCAAAGTTGACCTTGAAGAAACGTGTGTTCTGGCTTACCTTTCTCCTTCCATGTTAACTCTGCCCTCCGGTTTCTTCTGTAATGCCAACATAAGACAGAGTTTTTATCTTCTTCACACACAGCACTAGGTATAGGTTTTTATAATAATTGTAAGGCATAATATGCTACTTTTGAAGGTGTATAGGCTTCTCATCATTGAGTCATCAATCATGAAAACGAACATTCATCAATATAACAGCAAAGAACCAAACATTTTTCACTGGGATTTACTACTTCCTTTTGGCTTAAAGGAAGTAGAACAAGGGATAAATCTATTTTTAAAAGATCATTTCACTTACCAGGCTAAGCTCCAGTATAGAGGACGTTTTAGCATCTCCTGGCTGAGATAGGCATGCAGAGCAAGGGTGAGAACTTCCATGCAAGGGTGAGATGCAGCCACATGCCTCTGCATGTCTGCCTGAGTCTGGGATGTGGATTCTGCAAATATTCCAAGTGGATGTCGTGAACAATAGGGTAGACCTAATCAAAACAGCAGTTACTACAATCCATTGTTCTCCCTCACAACCACTCTTTCTCCCCCCTCATCCACTCTCTCCCACTGTGTTCACCTCCCCCTCTTATCCTTCCCCAACCTGTCACCACAGTACCCTTCCCTCCTACACATTCACCAGCCACTGTACCAACTGTTCACAGCCCCATCCCCCTGCAGATCCCTGACACAAGCACCCTCCATTACAACAACAGGAACACACACAGACATGCACAAAACCAAGCAGTCCCCATACTTCTTCCTCCACCCACCCCTTCTCCCCTCCCCCTTTTAGTGGCCACCTTCTACCCACATTTACCCAAAATTTCTATATCTAGGGGCCTAATAACGTCACCACCACTACCCCTCATTGGACCCCACTGTTTATAAGATATTATCATCAAGGGGTTTTCTAATAATATGTAAACAACTGGGTCTGAGCATTTTGAACCTGTGATTTATTATTGCTAAATTCGACCTCCAGCGGCTAGTGGCCAGAAAGAGCACATCACCACCCACCTAATAAAAAAACCAGTCAGTCACACAACAAATATTAAATCAAGGGAAAGAAAACAGCAATTAAAGGCCACCAACTAGCCAATGAAGAGCATAGTGCAGCAGCACCAAGTGGAGCGATTGGGAAACCCAAGAGGGATGGAAACCAACACTCTTTCAAAAAAATAATTCTACCAGAGGATTTCAGTGGGAAATGAAGAAATGGAATACCCAGTGCCTGACCCCAACAAACAATGATAAATATCAATTAAGAGCCCCAGTTGATCCCACAAAAAAACCTCAAAGAGGAACTCTTGGAAGGAAATCACTGAGAAATTCATGGGAGAAAAATATACTTAACATGGTTAACCAGAATGTACAAGATGCATTCAATAAAATTTTTAAGACACTTCAAAAAATAAAGACATGAGAAGACACAGAAATAGATAATGAACTCAAGAGACTTCAAAAAACACCAAAGTTGAAACAAAGGACACTATACAAAAAGAGATATGAAATTAAAGGTCCTGACAACACAAAATATAAAAGAGGAGTTGAACAAAGATATGGAAAACCTCAGAAAAAAGAATCAAAAAGAACTCCTTGAAATAAAAAATCCTTTTAGATCAGACAAAAAACACAGTGGAATGCCCATCTCCAGCAGACTTAACAGAGTGGAATACAGAATCTCAGAGCTTGAAGATAAAATAGAAATTAAAGAAAAAAACAGAAGAAATCTTAGTCAAACAACTCAAGAGCTGTGAAAGGAATATGCAAAAACACAGTGACACCATCAAAATACCAAACCTGAGAATCATGGACATTGAAGAAGGAGAAGAGGAGCAAGCCAAGGGGGTATATATTCAATAAAATAAGGACAAGAAATTTCCCAAATCTCAAGAAAGTCTTGCCCATTCAGGTACAGGAAGCCTCCAGGACACCACACAGACTTGACCAAAATAGAACTTCCCCACGGCATATTATCATTAAAACAATAAGCACAGAGAACAGAGAAAGAATATTGAAGGCTGCAAGAGAGAAAAAACAGATAACATATAAAGGTTAATCCATCAAAATAACAGCAGATTTCTTAACAGAAAACTTTAAAAGCAAGAATGGCATGGA